TATATATATATATATATATATATATATATATATATATATATATATGTTATTGAACGAAAGTTAATATACTATTGAACAGAATTTTGAATTGAATAATGTGATACATAAAAATATATTTTTTCTTAGTAATAAAGATTAGAAAGATGTATTTCGATATTATAGTTTGAATTGCGGATTTTTATACAGGTAAAAAGTTCAGGTTCAAATATTAATCTAATATATAAAAAATATGTATAATTTTATAACGTAAAATATATATAATTTTAGAGAGTCGATTCTAGAGATCAAAATAAATATAAAAATTGATATACAAAAATGTTGATTGAAGTTTATTTATTAAATTATAATTAATTTAAATTTATTTATTTTTCAAATTTTTCAAAACAAATTGTTTTAATGAAATCGATTATAATATAATAATAAATAATTCATAAATTAATAATAATCCCATGGAAATTATATTTTAAAATTAAATTCAAAAATTTAAACAATATAATTTTATTTTTAAAAACATAATCTATAAGATACTGATTTTTATTATAAAGCTATTTTATGATTAATTAATTTATGAATTAATATCGTACATTAAAGATTAAAATATTGTAGTTTTGAAAGAGAAATATGTATTTAAATATTTAATTGACATCTCGTATCTCTGTGATCATAAGAGCAAGAGCATAGACAAGTATAGATAAGGAGATCAAATAATAGGAGAAGGATAGGGAGAGTAAAATTCAGAAATTCACGCCATCTGTAGTGTGCTGCAAATTAAACATACACAGAAAAAGAAGACAAATAATAAGAAAAAGATAGAAATAGATAAAGTATTTACTATTAGCACCATCTTTTGAGTACCAAAAATATTTCTTCAAAACATAAAATAAAATGAGAATTGAGAATTAACGCCATCTTTTAAATAATTTTAGAAACATATCTTTAATAAGAAATGGCGCTAATAGTTAATTCTTATTCATTTATTCTTCTACTTACGTAGTTTTTCATATTTGTTTCATTTAAAACATTCTAAAAATAATAATATAAAATTTCCTCAATTTTTATATTATCTTTATCTTTTTGTAACTATTTATTTTTCTTGTACTTTTTCTGTAAATTTTATGTGCTTAAAAAATATTTCTGAAATCTGACTTTATTATTTTCTTTGTCTCAATTGATTATAAATCTATAAATCTTAATATATCTATAATTTATATCTATAAATATATCTATATTTATAATAATAAATATAAATTATACGTTTAAAAAATTCTAAGATAAAAATTTCTGTCCAAATTTTCAATTTTATATTAGAAGAATATAGTTGGGTAGAAAATGGCAATATGTGTCTTGAAAATAAACGTTGTTCGATCGAATTACGTGTATAATCGACATCAAAAATGCATAATAGAAGAGAAAAGTAAGGAAAGAATATTTACAGTTTGATAATATCTATTTTCAACTGAACGATAACAAAAATTCAAACGAATAATATAAAATAGCTTTTAAATGTTATTTCGTGACTCTTAATAAGGTTCAGTATAATATCTGTTTTGCGCCATCTGTAAAAATTGTCATATAATTTTTATTTATTTTATATAAGTTTCTTCTCTATCTTATTTTTATTCATACATCATATACACATGACATATTAGAAAATTCAAATTTATAATTAATATAAAAAAAAGAAAATTATTTAGTTTTTATTATACATTAAAAGTGATTAAAAACATTCTAAAGAAAGATTAACTTTGTGTAATAATTTACATATACAAGATGCTATTAATCTAAAATAAATAAGTTATTTATACAGGTAACATTTATTCAAATTTAATTTTTAGAATGTATATAAATAAATATCTTATTATCTGCGTTTAAGCAATTAAATTTATGATTTAAAAATATTAATAATTATTAAATTTTATGTAACAGTTTATTATTATTAATAATTATAAATATTTAATTTATCGTAATATAATGATTTACTTTAAATTTGGAATAAAATTGAATTCATAAAAAATTTTATTTTAATAATATTTTATTTAATATTTATATTTAGGACATAGAAAAATTAAAATATGGTCAAATCAATGTTCTATTTTCTCAAAAATTATAAAATAATTAGGTTAACGTTATTATATTTTCATTAATATAGATTTCTTTAATAATAATGTTATTTTTAATATAAATATAATATATTTTTTGTTATAAATTATGAAAACATTTTATATCACATTGATTTTTTATAAATATCGCAGTGACAAATTGAAAATATTTTTTTTTTATATTTTATGATAATTTCTTAGTGAAAAAATATTAATTGTATTGTTAAAGGATTTTTATTGAATAGAATAAAATACAATAGAATAAATAAATTTCATTTACTGCTCATCAAAATTAAATAAAATTCTTGATAAAGTATTTATTTGTGGCTGTTAATTCTGAAAATACTAGTGCGATGTAAAACTAATTTCATAAAAGAAATATAAATAATAATATAAGTAATAAATTTGTTTTAAACAATAAACATATATTTAAGTATTAAGTAATATAATTCTTTTATAATATTTAGAAAGATAAAATATACATAGCATTTCATATTTTGGTTTTTTATATCCTAATTATTTTTTATCTTAGGTACTTACAAATATTAAATAAAATATTTAATTTGATTTGAAATTATATTTTGGTCTTTAATGTACATTTATTTCATTTGAATATGTTTATATTAACTTAATTTTAAATATATAAATTCTAATATAAATATATTTGTATTGGAATAATATTAAATGAAATTAATATTTTTTGTTATATTTTTATATTATATTTTAGTTTGATAATATGGCAAAAGAATTGAATGAAATTGTTTTGAGCTACTACGATTGCTTACTGAGGACTAGTGATGTTGCATTACTTCAAGGATCACATTGGTTGAATGATGTTATAATAGGATTCTATTTTGAATATTTAGATAACACATTTAATAAAATTGAAAAGAAAGAACTATATTTTATAAGTCCGGAATTAACACAATTATTAAAAATGACAGATCCATCTCAATATAATGTATTTTTAGATCCTTTGAATATATCAGAATGTAAATATATATTTTTTCCTTGAACAATTGTGATAGGAAAGATGCAGCAGGAGGATCACATTGGAGTTTATTAGTATTTTGTAAGCAAGATAAAACATGTTACCATTTTGATTCATCAAGAGGTTATAATAGTAGTATTGCTTCAAAGTTTGCAAAGAATGTAATGAGCTGTTTACTTGATAAAGATGAATCTAACAAGAAATTTGTTGATATGGATAGTCCACAACAAGATAATGGTTACGATTGTGGTGTTTATGTTTTATGTTTAGCAGATGTAATTGCAAGGAATGTTTTGGAAACTGGTAATATAACTGAATGTGATTATAATCATGCTAAAAAATTAGTACAAACAAAACGTACAGTATTATTAAATTTAATAAATGATCTTAAACGCAAATCAAACATTGATAAATAATATGTATAATGTATACATATAACTATTACATGTAATTTTTTTTATATGTAAATATATTGTATATGTAATTATTATTTAGTGTTTATATTCAATGTTTTGTTTATAATTTTGAGCTGTGTTCATGTAAATAGATAATATAGTTTATGTAAATAAATAAGTAAATATTAATAATTAAATAAGTACAATATTTCTATATTATATATACGTTGCTATTATTATATATTTATAAATAGATAATAAAATATATATATTCTTAAATATAAATTATAATTAAATGTGAATATTTTTATAATTTATTTTGTATAATATTTTTTATTTGATATTATTTGATTCCAAAAACGACTAAATAATTACAAACTATTTCATGATTCACAATATACTTTTCGATATATATTACATTCGAATAATTTTATTTATAATAATAATTTATGATTAAATGTAAATTTAAGTTTTTAGATGAGTTTTTAGTAGATGAGATATTATTTTTGAATCCTTATTATTTCTGCAACATTATTGTGATAAAATTCCGTCTTGTAATACAGATGATTCTCTCGTTAGTGAATTTAAAAAAAGCATCGATGAAATAATTTCAAACTAGTAACGAATAATGATTCTTAAACATATGAACTCATTTTCGATACAGTTATTTTATAAATAAAGAATCATGATTCATAAATATTTGGGAACCACTAGCCAGAGAATTGTTCTATGTATGTATTTTTAAAATTTGATTGATTATTATAGGAAGAAAATCAAAATATTTGACATGTTGAGATTGATCATGATCTAAGAAAAGTTAAGAAATATTGCCTTAACTAAATTTAATCAGAAAATAGATTTATCTTAACATATATTTAATTTAATAAACTTATAGATAATAAAATAATAAATTAAGATAAAACATTTCACAAACAATGAATGAAAGTAATACAAATAGATGATGTCATATAAATTCATATTGAAATATCGCGTTATATAAATATTATATTAGTGTAAGTATATTATATAAGAATTGTTCAGCATTTATGAATTATATAAATAGTTTGATATATTTTATTAGATAAATTTAAAAAAATAGAAAGTAAGTTCTAATATTAAAATAGCTATCAAAATAATATCACTTTTTTGAATTTTTATAATAAAAGGAATTTATAAAAATAAGTAATCCTATCAACTCATGTTTCTTTCCATAATGAAATATATTATTTTATATTTTAAATGATATTTAAAATAACTTATATCTTATGATAATAATTAGACTTTGTTTATGCAAATGTATATTTCTATTATTTCATTAAAAGTTTAAAAAAAATATTTTTTATTTTACATATTTTGAACAATATATATTATTTGCATATTATATATTTTTTATATATTATCCATTAATTATCCATCAAATTAGGAATCAGATTATAAAACTATTACATGATTATTTATTAATAGTATCTCCATAAATCATATATGGAATATTAAGATATTAAGATTTGAGTCAATTCTAGAATCTAAAATAAACATCAAAGTTGATATACAAAAATATCGATTGAGATTTATTTATTAATTTATAAACAATTTAAATTTGTCTTAGATGAAGTGAAACAGTAAATATTTAAGGGAAAAATTTTTTTAATGCTTTTTATTATATAAAATAACAAAGTAATCTGTTATGAAAGAAAACTTATTTCATAATTCATATATTATATATCATATATTTTGATGTAATTCGATGTTATAAGTTAATGATATTTGATAACATTATCAATGATGAATCATTTTAGCGTAATTTTTTTATGTAATAAATATAATTAACTTCTTAACAGAAAAGTAAGAATATTCTTAAGAATATTATTTACAATTTTATATAATATATTGAACAAAAATAATAAGTAAATATTTTCTACTATTATTACAACATTTTTTTCAGTAATATATATGCTTCAACTGGAAAATTGTAGTGTGCATGTAATTCGAAAGAAGAATATTTGAAAATAGAAAATAACATGAATTAGCAGATTGTAATTATTTTATATATCATAATTGTTTATTTTTATATATTTATGTTTTTATTCACTACGCTTAATAATAATGACAATTATAAATTAAAAATTAAAAATTAAATATGCCATATCATTGCAATATTGCATACAATTCTTTTTCAACGAAAAAAATTTTACTTTCATTTTTGTTTCTAACTTTTTAAATATTTCTTTTTGCGAAATTATTTTTACGAAATTATGAATTATTTTTCAACCAATCCTTACGTTATAAAAAAGACAAATCTGAATTTAATCGTATTGCATTTTAATTTTTAAAATAATATAGACAATATATATAAGTAACACAGTGTAGAACTAATTAATATTTTAAACCCGATAATAAATTGATAAATAAACTGATAAATATTACGCGAGCTATGATAATATACAATTATTGTCACAAATTATACATATATATGATAAATTTTTTGTAAATAATAAATTTATACTTGGAAATCCAATCATAAAATATATATTATTAATATAATATATAATACAAATAATATTTAATTACTATATAATTAAATAAAATAATATTTGCCATACATAGTTGAAAATAAAGAAATAATATAAATGCTAATCACAATGATGATCGCATTAAAATGCAGGAATTTTTGAAGTACAGTACTCGTGTATCTTATATATCATCACATTAACTTTGTGTTTCTAATAGGCAAGTTGTGTTTTCTAAAAATTAAATTGTATTTCAAATTTTAATTGAAATTGAATTTTTTACAAATGTGAAAATGTGAATAAATTATACATATTTTATGTTGCATTAATATACAAATGCGTCATAATTTTTTTGTGTTTTTAGTTTGTGTTTTTAAAACAATAATATAAAGGCGGTTTATGCATAAATTGCACAAATTTTTAGAAATTCAGCAAACGTTTAATCATATGTATTAAAAATAATAAATCGTTACTCGAAAAAGCAGTTAAATAAACAAATGGAAAATATAAAAAATTTCAATATTTTTGTTTCATTTGATTGAATAATAGTAATAGCAATAATTTTTTAATGTAAATTATGATTAATCTTAAATGTATTAATTGTAAAATTAGATATATTAATAGTAAATATTATTAGTATTATTATTTAAATATTTAATTAAAAATTTTTAAACAGTATAATAAAATTATAATTATAATTTATTTTAGCATTTATATAATAATTTATTTTAAATTTATAAATATATATTAATAATATTGCATTTATATCTATTTTAATATTATACTATAATATTACACTATATAATTATTATAATTATAATTATAATGAATGTAATTGAATATTTTTTGTTATATTTTTAATTTAGAGTATTTTAATTTTTTAGTATCGCAATTTTTAGAGACAAATTTATAAAACTGCATATTAATTTGTAACAAAAATCGATTGTTACAAATTCAATTGTTTATTAAAATGTTTTTTTATGCCTCTAAATTTTGTAATCTTTTTAATATACTTTATGACTAGATATTTAGATATACTTCGAAATTATATCGAAAATTAATATGAATAATGAAATAATGAAATAATGAAATAAAATTTTGAATTATCAAATGACGAAATATTGCGTCATACACCGATAAAAAAACAATGATGTGATATCAATCTGAATATTATCGTCTATTTACTATCGTGAAATGTTTCATTGAGTATTTCAGTTATTAATTATTTTATTATGCTGTTCAAGATAATCTTTCACGATAATTTTGGATCCATTTTAACAAGTTAAAACTTCACTTTTGAATATTTTAAGAATGAAGATAAATAAACAAAATTTTATGTTATGTTTTGATACTTGGTAAAATAATATTTTACGAATTCATATAGATAATTTTATAATTCTCTTTATTAATTTGAAATTAATCAATTTCATTTTTATATTAGAGAAGTCAAGTTCTTCAAAATTTTATGAAAAATCGTTAGAGGATAGAAATATACATATACATTTCAAGAATTATAATTTCAATACATGTTGTCAATCGATTACTCATTCGTATTGATTATAATGGATAATATTTTGAGTATTACTTATATTAAAAACCACTTAGAGAATATCACAATTTTCGCACTTAACAAATGATAAAATTTTAAATTTTAACAAATAAAAAATTAACATACGCATATGTATAATGTTATTACACATATGTTAATTTTTTTCAACGTTAATATACATTAAAAATTTTAAAAATAGTTTAATAATTTGTTGAATCGTGTTCCTCCATCGTGATTCTGTGCAAATATTATTCAACTTATGAATATTGTTAATATATCAACGATTCCGAATCATTTTAATTGGATAATTTGAATTGGTATATTTTCAAATTACATAATTCTGTTTCATTTTTCAAATATTTTTATTTATTTAACTATAATTTCGTGGCTTCTTAAAATGTGCATTGTAAGATGAAAAAAAGAATGAAACGTTTAATAAATTAAATACACATGTTGATTATAATCGAGATTGATAAACTTGTAAATTAAGAAGCATTAAGAGATGAATCACTTGCATTATTCATAAAATTAAGAATTAATATATTTTATTGTAACAAATATTTGTTGCGACTTAAAATTTTCAGTTGTTTAAATTGTATTATAAATTTTTAATATAAATATTAAATATAAATATAAATACAGAATAATAATTAATAATTATTCAGTTAAATATTTATATCCATTGAAATAAAAATTCTATAATATAGAATATTTTAGCAATATTCAGTATTTAATCATAATTTAATATCAAAATCAATAATATCAAAAAATCATAAATAAAAAATTTTTTATATTTATTATATAAAAAATATTATATAATTTATATAAAAAGTATTATAAATAGCAAGAATAGTTTTTTTTTTTTTTAGTTCTCTATGTAAAATGTATAGATAGAAGATAGAAGATTATTATTAATACAAAAATAGTTGAAAATTGATAAATACATTACACGTAGATACATGTTATCGTTCACATATATAT